AAAACCATGGTGACAGCCATTATCCACAAATGAAGAAAACTTGGAACAGAGGTGAACCTTCCCTAGAGTGGCCGTCTTACCAAAATTGCTCCAATGGCACAATGATGACTCATCCAGGAGGTCATAAAAGAACCCTGGACAACATCTAAAGAACTGCAGGCCTCACTTGCCTCAGTTAAGGTCAGTGTTTATGACTCAACAATAAGAAAGAGATTGGGCATAAATGGCATCCATGGGAGAGTTTCAAGGCGAAAATCACTGCTGACCATAAAGAACACAATGCCTAGTCTCACATTCCCACAAAATATCTTGATTATCCCCAAGACTTTTGGGCAAATTTTCTGTGGACTGATGAGACAAAAGTTGACCTTTTTGGAAGATGTGCGTCTCGATACACCTGGCATAAAATTAACACAGCATTTTATAACAAGAAAATCATACCAACAGTCAAGCATGATGGTGGTAGTGTGATAGTAGGGGGCTGCTTTGCAGCTTCAGGAACTGGACGACTTGCCATGATTGATGGAACCATGAATTCTGCACTCTACCTGTGGGACACCATTTCGCACAACCAGATCACACTATGGGAGACCTCAATATTTTAGTTCTTAAAGGAAATTTCAAATCTAAGAATGATAATTCTATTTGACACAAGAGATAACGGCCTTAATTTGGACATGGGATTCTTCAATCATTATCCAACAGTTTTATGACTCCCTCTGTGAGTGTTGTTCCCCCCCAGTCTTTGCTTTTGCTGTATCTTATCTCTAGTCTTTTTTTTTTTTTTTTTTCATCCCCCACATCTCTTCTAACATTCTGCTAAAACTCTGTGAAGTAGTACCTGCCTGGACCTTAAAGAAGGAGACACTCCCCGAAAGCTTTTCCTCAAAATTGTATGTTAGTGCAAATAAAAAAAGTATCACGTCAGTACTCAATTGTTTCTGGCACTCTACCAGAAAATCCTGAAGGAGAATGTCCAGACATCAGTTTGTGACCTCAAGGTCAAGTACACTTGGGTTATGCAGTAGGACAATGATCCGAAACACCAGAAAGTCCATCTAAAAAAAAGAAGAATAAAGGCTTTGGAGTGACCTAGTCAAAGTCCAGACTTACATCCGATTGAGATGCTCTGGCATGATCTTAAACAGGATGTTCATGCTCAAAAACCCTTCAATGTGGCAGAATTAAACCAATTCTGAAAACTGGGCCAAAATTCCTCCATAGTGATGTGAAAGACTCCTTGCCAGTTATCACAAATGCTTGATTGCAGTTGTTGCCACCAAGGGTGGCACAGCCAGTTATTAGGTTTATAGGGGTAATTTACTTTTTCACACAGTGCCAGGCAGGTTTGGACAGCTTTTTTCCCTTAATAAATGAAATCATCTTTTAAAAATGTAATTTTGTATTTACATGGGTTATCTTTGTGTGATATTAAAATTTGTTTGATGATCTGAATAATTTAAGTGTGACAAATATGGGGGGAAATAAAAAAATCAGGAAGGGGGCAAATACTTTTTCACTGCACTGTGGGGATGATTTACTAAAACTGGAGAGTGCAACTATCAGCTTCCAGGTTTCATTGTCAAAACTTATTTGAACAAGCTTCAGTTAAAAGCTGATTGGTTTCTATGCAGAGCTGCACCAGATTTTGCACTCTCCAATTTTAGTAAATCAACCCCTGTATGTCATATTTTTTCTTTTGCCCATTGTTCTACTCAACAGCTCAGTTGTTAATTAAACTTAGGATCAGCATCTCTGGCAAATTATAGGTGTAACTCATTAAAACAAGGCCAACTCGTATGAAGTCATGAAAGAATTGGATCGGAAATTGCTACTAAAACAACTTTTCTATGAATAAGTGTAAAACGAGTGCAGAAATTGTACAGATCACCCCGTACAAGGACAATTATTATGCAACAAAACACACAATGGCTTCATCAATAAAGTATCTCGTCGTGGTAGAAGACTGCTGTGAGCATTTTAATTGAGATGGATGTTTAACTCAAGATGAAACTAATTCTAATGAACAGTCATTTCATTAAAGAAACATATATTTTCTCTTTGCAGGGATCAAGGCCAAGTGTAATTATCCCATCTCTTGGAAAGATTATTCATTTCCAGTTTCAAGTTACAAAACAGCATGATGTTCGGTGTCGCACGGTCATGGTACAAAGACAAAGGTTCCAACTGAACCTGATTTGATGGACGCATGTACTTTTATACACTTGCCTTCAAACAATATATTGCTCTTTTTTTGTACAGTGCTGCATCCACTGAGAAATGGTTCAGTGCCCCTTGGTTCCTGTTCATAAGACCATTGCCTGCTATGCAAATTTCTTTCCCGGCACTAGCCATGTAGCATCACCTGTGTAGTATCATGTCAAGCAAGCTGTGACGATATTACGTCACTACTCGCTGTAGTGAGAAGAACCAGGTACTGTCCCACCAAAAAATGGAACTCCTGGTCTGTTCTGCCCACCGTGACATAACATTGCTACGAATGGCACAATTAGGATCTGCCAGAAACTCACCCACAATCTTGCCCACATTCATGCCAATTGTTGGCTACAGTTTCTATTGCATGATGGGAATTGTAGTTTGTTCCAGCGGCACTGCACAGTGAGAGGAAGTGATGTTGGTGTTTTATTGATTCCTCCTCCTGGAAATTGCTGCAGTTTCTCCATGAAAGTGATGATTTCACTGACATTACTGTAGAGCTTACCCCCGAAGAAGCCACAACTTTCTTGGGTCCCCTGTTCCCAAAGCTTATGACTCTGTAAGCAGCACCACACTTTCTGACATACCTGGCTGCAGAAAATAGGGTGTACAGGTGGTAAACAAATATACACTGATCAGCCATAACTTTATGATCACTCAACTAATATTGAGTAGGTACCCCTTTTGCCTCCAAAATAGCTTTGACCCTTCAAGGCATGGACACCACTAGACCTCTGAAGGCATGCTGTGATATCTGTCACCTAGCTGTCAGCTGCAAATCCTTTAAGTCCTGTAAGTTGCTAAGTGGAGCCTCTGTGGATCAGATTTGAGATCCACAGATGCCCAACTGGATTGAGATCTTGAGAAATTGGTGGCCAAGTCAACAACTCAAACCTGCCGTTATGTTCCTCAAACCATTCCCAAGCCATTTTTACAGTATGGCAAAGGTGCATTATCCTGCTGAAAGAGGACACTGCCATCAGAAAATAACAATTCCATAAAGAGGTGGCTTGATCTGCAACAATGTTTAAGTAGATGGCACATGTCAAGTGACATTCACATGTAGCAGGACCTAAGATTTCCCAGCAGCACATTGTCCAAGGTATCACATGGCTTGCCTTCTTCTCATACTGCATTCTGGTGTCATCTCTTCTCCAGTTGAGCAACACACTCACATTGCTCCATTACTCTGTGATCCAGTTCTGATGCTGACTTGCCCATTATAGGTGCTTTTGGCTGTAGACATGCAGCCTGACTGGTCTGCAGCCATGCAACCCCACACACAACAAACTGCGATGTCCATTTTTCTGCTTTCAACCAACTTCAGGGACAGCATTTTTACTTGCTGCCTACTATATCCCACCGACTTTCAGATGCCTTTGTAACAAGATTAAATAATGTTATTTACTTAAACACTTCAGGACCGCCCACATATTCTCTGGCAGGGCAGCCATGCTGTGCCAAATCACATACATGTACGTGATTTGGTATTTTTGGGTTCTGACCGATCAGCGGGTCCAAACCAATGATTTATGGTCGGGACACACTGACCGGCCATGCAAATGAGAGAAAAGAGCCCTGTGTTGGTAAATATGGACCATATGTATGATGAAATTAGCTTTTTAAAAAGAAAGTAAACAATTTTGTTTATTTTTTTCAAATATTTGGTGCTCAAATACCACCAAAAGGAAAACAATGCTATAAATTTAGTTTGGTACACAGATTTCAGTGGTTTTCCCTAATAATTTCAGCCTACAATAAAAAAAAAATTACATATTTCCATGGCATAAAAAATAGGTACGCTTTCGCACCAAAAAATTCTGAAATAATTCATTACCGCCAGGAGGTTAAAAAGAAAAGTAAACAATTTGGTTATTTTTTTCAATATTTGGTGCTCAAATTGCATGTCTGTCTGCAAAATTACCAATTAAAGTAGCCCCATGCTAAATAGCCAAAAATGGCCTGGTCATGAGGGGGTAAAATTTTCTGGAGCTCAAGTGGTTAAGCTGCCAGTGGTCATAAAGTTATGGCTGATCACTGTATATACAGTTGCAAATACGATCTACTGGTGATAATAAGCCAGTGGTCCGGAGGATGATCCCTAAGACCTAAAATGGGAATGGTCCTGTAAGGGCAATGTTAGCATAATAGCCCTTTAGTCTGTATTAAACTGTTTCCCTACTGGCCAGCACCTTGGGGCCCAGATCCAGTGTTGGAGCACTTAAAATATGTTCTTCCTAACCAGGATACTGTACAGTTACCTGCAATGTGTCCCAAGAAAAAATATTGTTCTTCTTTAATAGGGTTTAGTAGAGTTTGGCCAGCAGCCTCTCACCAACACCTGGGGTGACAGTCTCCTTCTGTTCTCATTTGGCAGCTCAGCGAAGTCAGTGGCAACAGTCTTCTTCCCAATGATCAGGTGGCAGCATTGGACATCAACAGTGGCATTCTCACAACCTGGGCTGTCTCCCAAAATGTCCTCACCACATTTGCCTTGAGCCCAGGAACAAACCATACTTTTCCTCTCCACACAGCCCTGGTCATGCTGGGATGTGTAGCTCAATTTCCAATCTGATATACAGTCTTCTTCTTTGCTGTCTTTCTCCTCCTCCACAACTGGCGGAGAAGACTGTGATTGTTTTGCTGGGCTCTGCCTTGAAGAGACTGTTTGAGTAGAGGCTTGATTAGTCTGTTGGGACTTTCGACCAGCTTCTCCCAGAGTTAGAAGTTGTTTAGGGAGCTAGACTTGCCATAGACCTGTTTTCCTCTCTGATCTGGTACACCAGCAAACTGAACAGTTGCTTGCAGATGATGTAGGGTTGGGATCAGGGGCGGACTGACAACTCATGGAACCCCCGGGCAATAGGGGATCATGGGGCCCCTGTGTCCTTGCCCAAACTCAAAAAAGCCTATGAAAAAGGTACCAGGGGCATCTCATGGGGCCCCCTACTGACCCCAGGCCCTGGGGCAGTGCCCGAGTTTCCAAATGGTCAGCCTGCCCCTGGTTGGGATTTTCACCCGTCAGCTTGCTTGTGCTTTCCAGGGACAGCATATTTCTAAGAAGCCCTCAATGCAACAGATGTCTGATCCAGAGACATGCCAAAAGCCAAGTCAACAGACAATCAAGCTTCTCTCCCAAACATCAGCACGGAGAGTTTAAAATCTGTGGCATTGTTCTCTGTGATGCTATATGTAAGCGTAACTGCTGAAATGTGCCTGTTGCAGTGTTGCTTCTTCTCCATTGTTAAGGTCCAAAGCATGTCAAGCAAGGTACAGTTAAATCTCTTGCAGATACTCTTGTGGGTGAGAGGGAGTCCTTCTGGACTTCTGAATGCCCAACAGATCAAGCAGCTTGATGGGTTGTCTCGCAAGGTCTCTTCCCTGATCAGAATGGATGTGTTGGGGCAATCCATTGTGAACGTATTGTGAACTTCTTCAATGTGAGTTGGAACAGTAAAATGCAATCATTGTGTAGCAATGGAAAACAAGAGACTAAGAAAATGAGGTGTATGTGATATTCAATGCCAAAAATCCTCTCTGGCAGTGTTCGGTGGGTTTTTTTTAATCACCAAAGTGGAAAAAAATATGACTCTATATCATCTAATCACTAAGCTGAGCTAACATTTAGACCATATCACTTAGCTCACTGAAAACTCTAAATTCAACCCCTTAACATAAAGCATACATGTACATTGTCAAGCTGCCATGCTGTACGGCTCTCCAGTTAATGTGACCACACTGCCCCTGATATCTCCTGGTCACTATTTATGATTGGGAGCTGGTAAGATGGACTCCCGGTTATGTGATCGATGTACTAGCCAATCCCAATGAAAATAATTAAATAGAATAGAAAATAAAAGAATACAATGTAAAAGAATAAAATAATAGAAAATAAAAGAATAAAATAGAAAATAATGAAATAGAATAGAATAAAATAGAAAGAATATAACCGTCTTCCGAAATTTGAATTTTGAATAGGATAAAACCAGCTATTCTTCACAATGAATTTGGATCGATTTGATATTTTCGATTCAAATGCAATTCAAATATTTCAAATCCACTGGAAAAATTTGAATCTGGTCAAAAAACAAATAAACGAAACAAAACAAATTTCGTAACTAATACAATGAAACTAAATTAATAACTAAACAAATTGATACGAAATTAAACTAATGTTTGTTCTACACGTGTCTAGTAAAATGGCAGAATGTCATATGGACTGAAATGTCTTGACACGTCTACTGTGAGCACCAGCACTGTTTATGACATTCTCTGGTTGCAGGATTACTTTTAAGTCCATTTACCTTTCCACCATTTCACCCAGCCCTAAAGAAGGGGGATTGTGTGCCCCCCAAAACACATTGGATGTTTTTGGTTCTGCTTGTTGTAACCAGTTGAACAATAAAGATTTTGGACTCTTATGGTTTTTTAGTTGGTGCTCTCTTTGACCTATTATATTTGGGTTTCTCAACTTGGGTAAATCTCCTTTCCTGGAAGGGTCCACGTTTTCACCATGAGCTGCTGAATACAGGCCATTTGGACTCAAGAAATTACTTTCTCCACATTTTGATGCCATGCGAAAATCTATATCCAGAACTACTACCTCTTACAGCATACACTATATTGCCAAAAGTATTAGGACTTCCCTCCAAATTATTGGATTCGGGTGTTCCAATCACCTCCATGGCCACAGGTGTATAAAATCAAGAACCTAGGCATGCAGACTGCTTCTACAAACATTTGTGAAAGAATGGGTCGCTCTCGGAAGCTCAGTGACATCAAGCATGGTACTGTGATATGTTGTCAGGTGTGCAATAAATCCTGTCTGTGATTTGTGAAAGTTCCTTGCTGTTTAATATTCCATGGTCAACAACAGCAACTCAGCCACGAAGCATTAGGCCCCGTAGAAAAACAGAGTGCATGCTGAAGCGCACAGGGAGTAGAAGTCGCCAACTGTCGGCAGAGTCAATAGCTAAATACCTCCAAACTTCATGTGGCCTTCAGATTAGCACAACAACAGTGTGAAGAGAGCTTAATGGAATGGGTTTCCGTGGCCGAGGAGCTGCATCCAAGCCTTACATCACCAAGTGCAATGCAAATCGTTGAATACAGTGTTGTAAAGCATGCTCTAGACTCTAGAGCAGTGGAGACATGTTCTTTGGAGTGATAAATCATGCTTCTCTGTCTGGCAATCCAATGGACATGTCTGGTTATGGTGGTTGACAGGAGAACATTACTTGGCATTGTGCCAAGTGTAAAGTTTGGTTGGGGGGGCTATAGTGTGGGTTCTTTTTTAGGGGTTGGGTTTGTCCGCTTAGTTCCAGTGAAGGGAACTCTTGAGGCATCAGCATACCAAGACATTTTGGGCATGTTCATGCTCCCAACTTTGTGGGAACAATTTGGGGATGGCCCCTTCCTGTTCCAACATGACTGCGCACCAATGCAAAAAGCAAGGTCCGTAAAGACATGGATGAGAGAGTTTGGGGTGGAGGAACTTGACTGGCCTGCACAGAGTCCTGACATCAACCTGCTAGAAAACTTTTGCGATGAATAGCGTGGAGACTGCTAGCCAGGCCTTCTTGTCCGACATCAATGCCTGACCTCACAAATTTGCTTCTGGAAGAATGGTCAAACATTCCCATAGACACACTCCTAAACCTTGTGGACATCCTTCCCAGAAGAGTTGAAGCTGTTATAGCTGCAAAGGGTGGGCCAACTCAATATTGAACCCTACGAACTAAGACTGGGATGCCATTAAAGTTCATGTGTGTGTAAAGGCAGGCCGACCAATACTTTTGGCAATATAGTGTATATTGGTTTTTATACTCTATCAAATCCATCAAATACCATCAAATACAAGTGCTACTGAGTTCCATCCATCATCCATTGTATTTGATGGATTTTATAGATGGATGACACTGGCACTGTATGATTGAGTGTAGAAGCAAGCGCTGATATATGTGTGCTTATTTTTGAAATACACTGGGGTGTACATTTTTATTAGTAGCTGGTTAAGTAATTGTGAGAGAATTGTAGATAAATATTTTTTTGTGATGGTTTTCTAGTGCAAGTTCTAATGCTATCCACTGGTATTTTTATGCTAAAGTAGGGGTGCTGAAACCAGTGGCTTTGTGTGATACCAAAATATATATTCACAAATTATACACAGAATGCCCTACATAAGGAAACGTGTCCACAATTTTTTTTGAGGCCTGGGAATCTTTCAATCAAATCCTGCCTATTGATACCCAACAATCTGTAGTACAATCTTTTCAATACACTCAGTTTTATCAAACACGACTATTAACTGCTTGCTAACTGACCCAAAGTAAAATACTGCAGGCAGGCCTCTCCCCGTGTCACATAATGTACATGTACGTAATCGGGCAATTCTGGGTAGAGGGTGCGTGCACCCACTGCCCCAGCTGTGCTGTCATTCGCCACAGCACAATCCGGTCAACAAATCTCAGCCAATGGTTTATCGCCAGGACCCGCTGAAACGGGAAAGCGAATGACAGAATAGAGCCTTGTGTTGGTAAATAATACAGGGCTCTCTACAGAAAGCAGTGATGTGTTGTTTTATTTTGCCCTGCAAAGCAGGGAGTAAAAACTGTCAAAGTGCTTAGTAAAAACAGTACATAGTAAACACAGTAAACATTGTTAAAAGCACTCTTAAAGTCACATTAAAGTCTTGATTTTTTTTTAAAATAACAAACATATTATAGAAATTATACTTACCAGTTCTGTGCAGTGGATTTGCACAGAGCTGCCCAGATCATCCTCTTCTCTGGTCCCCGCCGGTGCTCCTGGCCCCTCCCTCCTGTTGGGTGCCCCCATAGCAAACAGATTGCTATGTGGGGCATCCAAGCTGGCGTACTCCTGAGCTACGGCTCTGCATGTCCATTCATACACAGAGCCGTGGCTTGGCCCTGGTCCCTCTCTCTCCTTATTGGCTCACTGGCTGTGACTGACAGCAGAGAGAGACAATGGCTCCTGTTGTTGCCTCAGCCGAGAGGTGCGAGAGTCTCCAGAGAACCGAGGTTCTCATGAACATAGCTGGATCCAGAGGGGGAGGCTGGGGGGTTGCTACACACAGAAGGTTTTTTACCTTCATGCATAGAATGCATGAAGGTAAAAAACCTTGAGCCGTTACAATCACTTTAACACTTTGGTTGTACCTAAATATTAACCCCTTCCCAGCCAGTGTCATTAGTACAGTGACAGTATAAAGTATTAGCACTGGTCACTGACAGTTAGCCAGTTCCCACAAAGTGTTAGTTAGTGTCAGGTTGCCCAACACACTATCATAGGCTCATTATAAGTCGCTGGTCACCGCCATTACTAGTATGTAAAAAAAAAATCCCAGTATGTATCCCATAGTTTGTAGACGCTATAAGGTTCATGGAAACCATGTAATATACACTTTTTTGTTTTTTTTTGTGACCAAAAACATGTAGCAGAATATATTTTGGCCTAAATTTATTTTTAAATTTATTTCATTGGGTATGTTTTATAGCAGAATGTAAAAAATACTGTATTGCATTTTTTTAATATATTAAAAAATACATCAGTGCCTGACCTCACAAATGCGCTTCTGGAAGAATGGTCAAACATTCCCATAGACACACTCCTAAACCTTGTGACAGCCTTCCCAGAAGAGTTGAAGCTGTTATAGCTGCAACGGGCGGGGCCAACTCAATATTGAACCCAACGGACTAAGACTGGGATGCCATTAAAGTTCATGTGTGTGTAAAGGCAGCTGTCCCAATACTTTTGGCAATATAGTGTATTTTATGTCCCATTACCTGGGGCCTCCCCCTTTCCTCTACTTACTTGCCAAAAGACCCACCGGCATCCACCCAATACACACTGACCAAAGCCTAACATTGGGTCCCATATATCAGTTCAATTTCAGAATGTATTAACAAAAAGAATACTGTTATTTCTTTATTCATTTTTTTGTTCAAATGTTCTGCCCATCTTTATTGTCAAATGAATTCTCATAGCAAAAAA